GCTGGAGCAGAGCAAGGTGCGGATGCAGAAGGCTGGGGTCCCCTGCAGAAGTCTACTGCCACAGCCGCCTCGGCCGCCGCCGCTGCCACGTCGCTGCGCCCTCCCCTTCGCTTCCTTCTGGTCCCCCTGCCACCTGTTGGGCACCAGTGTGTTCACCTCACCCTCCCGACCCTTGCCTTTCGGCTTCGTTGGAGGGATCTTTTTGCAGAGCGCGTGCCAGAGGAACCCTTTGTCTTTGCCCTGAGAGCCGCATGCCCTTCAGGGCACCGCCGCCGCTGAATCTGAAGCCGAGCTGAAAATCGGCAGCAGGGGCGTCGCCACAAGGAACGCCGGCGGTCCACAACGCGCTAGGCTCCTTGGGCTCTTCCTTACAGCCAAGACGCTGAAACAAGGAACACTTCGGGTGCAGAAGAGGCTCTCTGTTCCTTAGGTCCTTTCATCATGCCCCCATGTTCTCCTACGACGAACAAGCGGCGTCGTTTCTTCTTTGTGCTCCTGTCCTGATGGGATATCAGCTCGCCTGCAGGTCCTTCGAGCACCTCGGCCTGACTGCGAGCGAGAAAGAGTGTGGGGGTGGTGGTGCTGCCGTTCTCTTTCAGCAAGGCTCTGACCGTACCTATTTCCATCTTGCTCCGGCCCTGTTGCTTCCGCCCCCCGACCCCAGTCCTCAAGGGTGCTCAGGAGGAGGTCTCCCAGAGGTCTCTGGAGGATCGCCTTCTCTTGTGGGCCTTCCTGCTGCTGCTCCTCTGCGAGTGCCAGCGCCGACTATGGGGCAGCTGCCGTCGCCGCCGCTCCTGCTGTTGCCGCCGCTGGCCGCCGCTGTCCTTCCTCCTCCCTGCCCCCCGCGGCATGCTCGGGCGTGCGGTGCGGTCTGCTCGGCCTCGCTGCCAGCTGGTTCCGAGCCCGACTCCCCTCCCCTCGTTTGCCTGCGTCCCCCTTGCCCCCCGCCCCCCCAGCTGCCGGCCGCAGGAGTTCCAGACCTGGTTCTCGCAGCTTCGCAGCCAGGCGCTTGCGCGCATGAGGAGCAAGACCAAGAAGGAGGATGAGAACGAGGATGAGGATGTGGACGAGGATGAGGATGAGGAGGAGGAGGAGGAGGAGGTGGAGGAGGAGGAGGGGGAGGAGGAGGAGGGGGAGGAGGAGGAATATAGATAGGAATAGGAATAGGAAGAGGGGGAGGAGGACGAGGAGGAGGAGGAGGAGGAGGAGGTGCAGGTGGAGGAGGAAGAAGAGAAGGAAGAGGAGGATTAGGAGGAAGAGCAGGAGGAGGAGGAGGAGGAGGAAGAGGAGGAGGAGGAGGAGGAGGAGCGAGAATTTAAAAGTGAGCGGAAAAGGGGGGCATGATGAGGATGAGGATGTGGGTGAGCATGAGGAGGAGGATGAGGATGATGACGATGATGTTGATTATCATGATGATGACGATGATGATGATGATGATGATGATGATGATGATGAGGATGATGATGATGATGATGATGATGATGATGATGATGATAATGAGGAGGAGGAGGAGGCGGATGAGGAAAAGGAGAAGCAGGAGGAGGAGAAGAAGAAGTAGTAGTAGTAGTAGTAGATGTAGTGGTTGTAGTAGTCGTCGTAGTCGTAGTCGTAGTCGTAGTCGTAGTCGTAGTCGTAGTAGTAGTAGTAGTAGTAGTAGTAGTAGTAGTAGTAGTAGTTTAGTAGTAGTAGTAGTAGTAGTAGTAGTAGTAGTAGTAGTAGTAGTAGTAGTAGTAGTAGTAGTAGTAGTAGTAGTAGTAGTAGTAGTGGTAGTAGTAGTCGTAGTAGTCGTAGTCGTAGTCGTAGTTGTTGTCGTAGTCGTAGTAGTAGTAGTTTTAGTAGTAGTAGGAGTAGTAGTAGTAGTAGTAGTAGTAGTATTTGTAGTAGTAGTAGTAGTGGTAGTAGTAGTAGTAGTAGTAGTAGTAGTAGTAGTAGTAGTAGTAGTAGTAGTAATAGTAGTGGTTGTCGTCGTAGTAGTAGTAGTCGTCGTAGTCGTAGTAGTTTTAGTCGTAGTCGTAGTATTAGTAGTAGTAGTAGTAGTAGTCGTAGTAGTAGTAGTAGTAGTAGTAGTAGTAGTAGTCGTCGTCGTCGTCGTCGTCGTCGTCGTCGTCGTCGTCGTCGTAGAGTAAGAGTAGTAGTAAGTAAAAAGTAGTAGTCGTAGTCGTAGTCGTATCGTTAGTAGGTAGTAGGTAGTAAGTAGTAGTAGTAGTAGTAGTAGTAGTAGTAGTAGTAGTAGTA